TAATTTGTCGTTGCCAATCATTGTAGTATATTTACATTTTAAGTCCTAAAAATTATTCCAAAAGTTCTTTTTCTTTTTTTCTCCTTCCTAATAAATAACCAATTCCTAATGCTAAACTAACTAAAATTATTCCTCCGCCAATTAGTAAAGGGGTTTTAGAATTATTCGACTCTTGTTCGCTCTTCACTGAACTATTTTGAATAATCGCTTGTAATTCATGAGCCTGTTGTCTTTGGGAATTATCACCACTTTTAATTAAATGCTGAGTATATTTCAATAAATCCATTAAAATGGTGCTTTTGTAGGAGTTTATTTGAATACTTTTATCTTTCATACCGGCAACTAATTTATTAAACTGCTCGCTAGTTAGATTTTGGAGGTTTTTGGCTCTTAATGGGTTATTTCCGCAGTTAATTTTCTTTAAATTAGGGAATTCCTTTAATAATCAGGCTAAATCTAACTCTTTAATTTGGTTGCCAAAGAAGTTAATACTCTGTAATTTCTCTTTATTCGGTAAAGAATTTAGGAATTCAATGCTTTCTAATTTGTTGTTATAGGCATTGAGAGAAGTTAGAGAAGTAAAGTCTTTTAAATTGGCTTCTCCGGTTAGGTCATTATTAAAGATATCTAAATATCTAATTTTTTGCTTATTAGTTTTATTATTAATATGTTGTTGAAATTCTTGGGACATATGCTTATTTTTTGCTTAAAAAAGATTTATATCTCGCTCTTTGGTGTATTTTCAACTATACATGAATGATTTTATATGAATAAAGAGCAAATAAATTATGAAATAAATAATCTTTGATTGTTTTATTCTTAATTACCAAATTTAAAAAGAGAAGATTATCCTAAATATTTACTGAATGCTAGGCAAAGTGGCGAAGCTTTGGAATTACTAACTAGTTTAGAAAACAATAGCACCAACCTCATTTTTTTTGATCCGCAATACGAGCCGGTAAAGAATGTTTTAGCGGTCAATTATCCCTTATATTCCCAAAGTGATTATCAGATTTTAAGAATTTTGGAGCAGATAAAAAGAGTTCTAAAACCTAGTTCTTTTTGTCTTTTATGGGTAAATAAAACTCTTTTGGGAAATGACTGCATTCCGTTATGGTTGTTAAAAACTCCTACTCTGAAAATAGTTGTTTTTTTGCTGTGGCATAAGAAAAACACACTAGGACTAGGTAATTGATTAAGAAGCAATGCCGAATTCTGTTTTTTAATTCAGAAGTTCCCCCAAAGTGGTAAAGTATTTAAAAATAGGTCTTTTGGAAATGTGTGGGAGGAAAATGTTGTGCCAACCAGTAAACGCAAGCATCCGCATCAGAAACCAAAAGAACTAATAAAAGCCTTAATTTCTGCTACTACTAATGAGGGTGATTTAATAATTGACCCTTGTGCGGGTTCTTTTGTGGTGTTGGAAGTTTGTCAAGAGTTAGATAGGAAATTTCTAGGTTGTGATTTAACTTTTAAAGAACTGATAAAGTTTAAAGAGAACAGAATTTAGTATAATTTTACTTGGTTTTCTCGTGCATATGTTCATTATCTAATTAGATATTTATAGGTTAAATTTCCTACACTTAGGAAAAAAATGTATATAAAATAAAATTAAATAGAAACAAAATATATGAAATCATGAAAAACCAAACATTTATCAAATATCAATGCTTCTTATGCCAGTTGGTGGCATAAAGAATTAAAGAGAATAGGCGAAAGTATAAACATATGACAACAATAAAGTAAGTTCGCATGCTTACTAAATTGCCTTAAATTAAAGACAGTTGGCTAATTCTGTAAAAGTTAGCAAAAATAAAAAATATTCAAAATTAAAAGTAAATAAAATTTAAAAAAATATGGTAAACAACAACGGAATACCTTTTGAGGTAAAAAAACCGGTAGAAACGGTATATGAATTAAAAAATGAAATTCCCTCTTTTGAGGAGTTTATGAAAACTTATGAAAATGATGGTAATTTGAATTATGCTGATTTAAGTGGTGGTGGCATAGGCGAGACGGAGGGTTATGGACCTTGTTCTCCTTCTTATTGTAGCAATTGTAGTTGTAGCAGAAGTGATTGTAATTGTCGATCGGGTGAGGGATGGACAGAAATGTATGTATCTTGCCCCGCAGTTGGTTGTGGGAATAAAAATCTTAGTTATTGGGTTCATTCAACAGATAATTATCGAATGTGAATATCCAACCAGGCTCGTGTTAGGTGTAGCAAAACACATTGTTCAACTTACCACATGAAGAACTGAAGTTTTGCTTGTTCTACTCACCGCGGAGATTATAGAACGGTAAATCGCAAATCTTTTAATAAAGCCTTGGGTATTGCTCTTCAAAATGAAGATTGTAGTCAAGTAATTGCTGAGTTAGGTGAATATATAATAACTCATAAAAGTGAGTGAAATGATTAATAAAATTAAAAATAATTAATATTAAATAAAATCAAAATAAAATACTATGTTTAATCGAAATAATAAAAAAAATCAATTGCAGAAACAAAAAACTCTATCTGCTTATAATAGAAAAGTGGTTCATGATACTTTCGACATGACAATGGAGTGGTTAGAAAAATATATCGAAGTAGCTGGTTATTATCCTGACTGAGATGACCGAAAACAAATTAAGAATAATAACATCAAAAGGGCAGATATTATTGGTAATCCTGAAAAGGCAGAAGATTCATTCTCAACACAGTTATTTTTATTTGAAGGAAATTTGGAAGATGAGCCACTTTTCCTCAGAGAAGAATTAAAAGAGGAATTTTATCGGTGAATTAATGCTACAAAAATTGATGTTATTAATTGTCCGGGGAGATTAAAGCATGCTTTGTTTGGAATTAATGAAATATTAGAGGGACGTGGTGAGAAAATTCGTGACGATGTGAAAAATAGAAGAAAGGATTATGATATTAATTCCCCTGAATACATGGAAAAATTTAAAAAAACTTTTGCTTCTATTCAAATTCCATTGAATAATGAAAGAGAAATAGAAAAATCTTTGGAGGGTAAAAATTATGATGAAGTCACTATTGAAAGTAAATTCACCGATGGAGAAATGGAAAAGGGCGAAGAGGCTTTTAAACAAATTGCTAAAACAGTTTCTAGTCATGATGATTTCCATTTCTACCCACAAAAAGAAAGTCAGCAAATTCCTTCTTTAAGTCAGAAAAAGGTTTTGGCTGAGAAAGTTAAACAAAATCTAAATGAATGAAAATTAAAAGAGGTAGTAATTTTTAAAGGTTATTATGGAAGCACAGGTGAAAAAAAGGAATCAGCATTAGTTCACAATTCGGCAGGTTTAAGGAAATACGACTGAAAAGGAAATTTGGAAATTGACCCAAGAATGATATATTTCAAAAAAGACCATCAACCGGAGGAATGAGTTCAAATTGAACAATTTTATTCTAACAAAGTTGCGGGTTCTAATCAAGGCAATTCCCAAGAAATTCGTTGCCGAGATTTAATTGCGGAAATTAAACGCAATAAAAATGACTGAGAAATTAGGAAAAGTGTGCCATTGGCTTATTATCTATATGGTGGGGTGAAAAGTGAAGGGGATGTGCTTATTCGTAAAAAATTAAGGTTGAATGATAACTGTGATTATGAGACATCGGGTGAATTGATTAACCAACTAGGAAAAGTTTATAGGTGGGATTATTTTAATGAAAAGGAATGAGCAGAGATTAATGGAGTGTTCGAAAGAAATTCAACTGCTAATCAATCAATTCGTCGAGAAATAGTTGATACAATTAATCAACAAAAAAATAAATTTAAGGTTGAAAAAGTAGTTATTTTAAATGAGGAAATCAATGATTATGAAGAAGAGTTATGAATTATTCATGATTTAGCCAAAAGAGATTTTGACAATAAAGATGGACGACTGATTTTTGATTCTGAAAATATGTTTAAGGTAAAAGACTTAACCGAAGCAGAAAAACAAGCAATAGGTTATAATAAATATAAATCAGAAGCAGGTTTACAAAATAATTCTTCTATTTCTAATTCTAAAAACGATAACAAACTTGACACTGGTGGAATTCTAGCCATTATTGGTGTGGTTAGTGTAATATCAGTTGTCGGTGTATTGTTAGTAAGAAAAAAGTTGAATAACAAAAGTAAAGATTAACTATTCTTTATAAAAATATAAAAAATTAGGGGGTGATAGAATCACCCCCCCCATGATTTATAAAAATATAAAAAAGTCTTTAATTTGAATAGTTCTAGCGATAATAGTTCTAGTTTTGATGGGAGTGGTCATTTATTTAGTTTGACCTAAAAGAGAAGCAAACAAACCAGTTGAAGACAAATCACAAACTAATACTAATTGAGAGGAACAAATTTCCCAATTAAAATTTGAATTAAATTCAACCAAAAGTAAACTCCGAAAATCAGAAATTAACCAAAAAAGTCAATTGGAAGGTAAAACGAGTAAAATAGAAAATAAAATAAATGATAGTGTTAAACAAAATAGTTCTCTTTCTCAATCAGAAATTAAGCAATTAAAGGAAGAATTAAAAGAAATTAGACAAAAATTAAAGGAGAATAAACCTAGTAATCAGAAAAATGATGAACCTAAACCTAACCAAGACGAGCCTAGTAAAAATGATAAGCCGAAAGATGATACCAACCAAAATCCTAATTCTGATGACCTAGTGGCAACTATTTTTAGATGAAGTGGTTCGGATGAGAGTGGTTATTGAACATTTGCAAGTCGTAAGGAAAGAGCAATTCAAGTGCATATTGCCGAAGACCACCCTTCTTTAAAAGGGAAAAAGTTGGATAGTTCGGAAGATACTCCTCTTTTTAGTATTCTATTTGAGAAAAAAAATGCTTCAAAGCAGGAAGGGAACGATACTTGATATTTTGATAAGGATAACAATAGTTTTGAGTTAGATACTTTTGGCGATTGACCGGATGAACCAGAACCAAATAATAAAGAAGAGGCAAAAGTTAAATATGCTGGTATTAATAGAATAACGCGTGATGCCTATATTTTTTTATTAGAGGGAAATAAAGATCATTTATATAGTATCAATGAAAATCACCCTTGCATAAAGGAGTTGTTAAATCAAAACAAATTACAAAAAGACAAAAAGTTTACTATTCGTTATGAAAAGGTGGATAAGGTGGATAAAAAATCCGATAAAGATCTTTTATTTACTTTTAATGAGGATAATAAGGAGTTAGAGATTATTGAGTTTAAAAAATAGCAAATTAATAATCAAAATATAATAAAAACTATGCCAAAAAATACATATTTTATAAAAGAAAATTACAAAAAAGTAGAGGAAGTTAGGGAAATAGAAAATGAAGTTCCGAATTATGAAGAGTTTTTAAAGAATTATAATTCTGATGAGAAAGTAAGCGATAGTTATGAGAATGAGCTAAATTCTTATAGTGATATTGGAGTGTTAAAAGGTTTCGGTCCCTGTCATATTTGCTATAAAGATACACAGTGAAAGGATTTATATATACCTTGTGCTGCTGCTGGTTGCAGTAATTTTCATTCAAGTTATTGGCATCATACGCCTGGGTGCGGAAGTAGATTACAAGTATCTAACAAGGCTCGAATTAGGTGTAGTGGTTGCTCATTTAATTGTGATTTAAAAGATTATTATTTTGCTTGTTCCAGTCATCGTGGAGATTACAGAACAATGGATCGTAATTCCTTTAATAAAGCCTTGGGTATTGCTCTTCAAAATGAAGATTGTAGTCAAGTAATGGTCGACTTGTCAATGTTTTTAGTTAACCATCGGTAATCGTTTCTCTCTAACTTCAAAAAAAGGGAGCCTAAAAACTCCCTTTTCCTAATAACTATTACCCAAAAACTCAAAATAAATCCAACTCCCAAAAACAATGAGAGTAATAATTATTAGTGAATAAAACAACAAATTATCAGCCTTTTTAGTCTCTTTTTTTAGGCAAAAATAAATCCCTACTAAACATACCATTTCCATAAAAATAACAAAAAATCAGAATAAGTAATCAGGGAATTTGGTCTCCGGCAATACTCTGTATTTCATAATACCTAAATCTTTGAATGGTTAAGTTTTTTAACAAATTTTCTCTTTTTTCGCTTCTTTTTATCTTTACCGATACTCTTTTGCCAAGAGTAATGAATAGGAGCAAAATTCCGCACATGTTTTATCTGTTTTTCCTCTAATTCAGTCCCTTTTAATCTTTTAGATAAAATATTCTTATCTATTTTTTTCCGCCTTTTTCTTTGTTTTGGGAAGGCTTTTGCCTTTCTAATCACTTCTTATCTGCGGTATCATTATTGCCACCATTTCCGCGGTAAATATTCTGTCAATATAAAGCGGTAGTTCTAATGCTTGAATGTCCCAATAAATTTTGTAATAATGGTAATGGCATTCCGCTTTCGGCACAATAGGTATAGCGAATTCTCTCCGTAAAGTATGTGATGAAAGTTCAATGTTTCCATCAATTCCAACTCCTTTTTAACCTTCTTTTTTTTTTTTTTTTTCAAGAAGTATTACAGAATTCTACTTCTTGGTTGTTGTTATTAACCATTTTTGTTGAATATTCAAAGAACTTAATAGGCTACTAGGTAGGTTAACGACATTTTACAACACCATTCACCTACTAAACTTTTTCAACGTTCAACTTTTTATACTCAATTGAGAACCTAGCCAGTTAAATTAAAAAAAATTAAAATTAATATTATAATATGTCTACTACTAACCAATTAATTAAAAATCCCCGTGTATTCAAACAAAAAAAGGTAAAATTATTAGCCTTAAAACATAATTCCACTAATAATGGTAAAAAAAAGAGAATTTACTCTTCCAACAACCCTCAAAAATTAGGACACTGCCAAAAAGTAGGAGTGTTGAAACCAATGAAACCTAACTCAGCCAATCGAGCCTATGCACGGGTTTCTCTTGTAAATGGAAAAGAAATTACGGTTTATATTCCTGGCGTAAAGCATAATTTAAACGAATTCTCCTCCGTTTTAATTAGCGGAAGAGGAGCCAAAGATTTACCAGGAGTGAAATACCGTGTAATCCGTGGTTATAAACATGGTGATGCCGAAGGAGTAAAAGAGAGGAAGCAAGGTCGTTCCCTTTATGGAGCCAAGAAAGCAAAAAGTAAATAATGGCAGTGAATTATGACAATTCCGCCAAAAAAAAAAAAAAAACCAGTTTTAATTGGCTTAATTTTAATATTTATTTTAGTAATAGGGCGGTAGTATACTTTTACTTTTCACTAAAAAACAGTCTCAAAAAGAAAGTCCAGTTAATGAAAAAAAAGTTTTTACTGAGAAAGTTAAAACTGATTTAAAAGACTATTTAGTCAAAATTAAGAATAACCAAACTCCTCCGCAATTATCTTATTTATTACTTGATAAAACTTATTGAAGAAATAGTAGTGGTTTTCTTCCCATAAAGGGGTTTATTTTTCCACATTTTAATAGAAAAAAAGGAGAAAAAATGTTTGCGTTGAGTATCTCCCCAGAGGATTTGGAGGAAGATTATCAACCAATAAAAGAGTTAGTTTCCCAAATAGAACAAACCAAAAAAGACCAATTTGAACAAAAAACACAAGCAATTAAAAGCAAATCAGAAGAAGAAAAGAAAAAAATTTTTATTTTAGAAGAAAAAGGAGCCTTACCATATGTTATTCCTAGCCTCGCTTTTGGATTTCTCCATAACGATAATAGAGCCTTGTTGTGTATTCCAAAAACTCACCCTGCCTTAACTAATATTATTGACATTAATGACCATGAAGTTTTTTTTTCAAAAAGAGGTAAATATTACCGGTTTGACAATTTTGAACACATTCCGAAAATACCTTGTCAAACAGGCGGCAGCAATTATGACTTTGTTATTCCTATTAAATTAACGGATAAAATTATTATTACCCCTATTTAAATTTTGGTTAGTTTTTCAAAAAGGATAAAAATTAAATAATAATGAGTATTCACCAATGTTAATTAATATTAAAGATATTTACCAAAAGGTTCGAGGATTAAGCCAATTAGAGGAAGCACAAAAAAATAAAGAGTTGAGTAAACTAGAAAAAATTAAGGTGGGCGGTTGAGTAAAATCAGTCCGAGAAAGTAAGGAAAAGATTTTTATTACTCTCAACGATGGCTCAACCATTAACCGCCTCCAAATAATTATTTCCCGCAAAGACTTTTTGCAATCGGATTTATTAGCAAAAATTAATTTCGCTAGCAGTTTATTAGTGAACGGCAAACTAATATTAACCCCTGCCAGAGAACAAAGTTGTGAATTACAAGTTTCTGAAATTGAATTGGTTAACTCGACCGTTGACGATTATCCCTTTCAAAAAAAAAATATTCCCTTGGAAGTAGTTCGTAATTTTCCCCATTTACGAGCCAAAACTAACTATTTTTTGGCAATTTTTCGCTTGCGTCATTCTATCAGTAAAGCCATTCATGACTTTTTTCACCAAGCAGGGTTTTATTATGTTCCCACCCCGCTTATGACCAGTAACGACACCGAAGGAGCCGGAGAGTTATTTAATATTACCACTAATGAAAAAGAACCTTTTTTCTCCAAACCGGCCACCTTGACTGTCAGTGGACAACTTCAAGCTGAGGCACTAGCCCAAGGATTAGGTAAGGTTTATACTTTTTCCCCTTGCTTTCGAGCCGAAAAATCTCACACTACCCGCCATTTAGCCGAATTTTGAATGGTCGAACCGGAAATGGTTTTTGCTGATTTAGATAAAATAACTACTTTAGCTGAAAAACTAGTAAAGTATGTAATAAATTATGTATTAATCAATAATTATTCCGAGTTAGAATATTTAGAAAAACATAACCAAAAAGAATTAATTAATAAATTAAAAAGACTGAACAATGAAAAATTTGAAAAGGTTAATTATAACCAGTGTATTGAAATATTGGCAGAAAGAAAAGAAAATTTCATTTTTAACGATATTAAGTGAGGCATGGATTTACAGTCAGAGCACGAAAAATATCTTTGTCAACATTTTAATAATAAACCAGTTTTGGTGGTTAACTATCCCATTAATTTAAAAGCTTTTTACATGAAAAATAATTCTGATGGCAAAACTGTGGCTTGCTTTGATTTACTATTTCCGGAAATAGGAGAATTAATTGGTGGCAGCGTGCGAGAAGATAACTATCAAATTTTAAGAGAAAAGGCTCAAAAAATAGGTTTAGATATCAATAACTTAAGTTGATATTTTGATTTACGAAAATATGGCTATGCTCCCAGCGGGGGCTTTGGTTTAGGTTTAGAAAGATTAATTATGTTGATCAGTGGCACCGAAAATATTCGAGATACCATTGCTTTTCCTCGCTTTCCGGGAAAAATAGAATTCTAAAAAATAAAGTAAGAAAAAAAACTAGCCATGATAAAAAAATTATTGGAAATTCTAGTACGATTTTTGTTTTTTTAACAATTATCTGCTTTCTTTTATTCATGATATACCAATTAATAACCAGAAATTTTTATAAAAAATAATTATAATATGGTTAAAAAACAAAAAAGATTATTTTTTTTCTTACTTATTGTCCATGTATACTGTCTAATTTCAGCTTGGTTTAATGCGGGAAGGAAAATTGACTATCCTGGTTCTTTTTTTTGACATCTTTTGGCGTGATGGTGTACCTGAAACAGTATTATAACCATCGCATTTATTCTTTGGAAGTTAAAACGACCTAAAAATAATACCTATTTCGCCCAAGTTTTTTCGTTGATAACCATGATTAGTAATTTAATTACCCTGCTAATTTACGGCTTGGGTCTAATTATTTGATTAATTACTGCTTTAACTACTTATATTGGAATTACCAGTGAAACAAGAAAATTGGTGCCCATTCCGAGCCATAAAATTGGAGAAATGGAAATTGGAAAAGTGATTCAATGATGATCTTATTCGCCACTTTGACATTTTATTGCTCCCGCCTACTTTATGGTTTGATTTTTCCGTCATGAACGAATGGAATTGCTGAAAAAAAAACTAAGATTGACTGTTCTGCTTTGCCTAATTCAACCTGTGTCTTATTTCGCTTATGGCTACTTTCGAAGCAAACTTGGTGACAGAAAATACTTTAAAGATTTTAAAGCCCGGTGAGTTATGCCCTTTCTCAGTTCTAAAAAAATGTCAAACAAATTAGGAATTGGCCGCGATTATCGCTTTGTCTGAAAAATTGTTTTAGTTCTTTTCTGGTTTAGTTTATTTATTCTAATAGTTTACTTGACTTTGCGATACCGAAAAAAAATAAAAGTCTACTTATCAAGCAAAAAGCAGAGATGAATTAGAAAGGGAAAAATTTCAAGTCCAAGATTACTAGCAAAAGAAAAAAAATAAATGAATAGCCGATGCCTAATTGTTTGTTATGGAGAACTATTTTTGAAAGGAAGAAACCGCCCCGAATTTGTTCAAAAATTAACTAATAATATTAATTTATCCTTTCAAAAAAATAATTTTTCCAACTTTAGCATTAGAAAACTCCACGATCAACTAATAATTACTGCTAAAGATGACAAAGAATTACCCAAAATGATTCCTTACTTAAAAAAGGTATTTGGAATTAGCACTTTCTTTTTGGCTTACCAACTAGAAAATGACTATGAAAAACTTTGCAAGTTTGTTGAAAGCATTACTGACTATTATGAAATTAATTTTACTACTTTCAAATTTGACATTAGCCGGAGTGATAAGACTTTTCCCAAAAACTCTTTAACCTTGCAAAAAGAATTGGGAGAGATTATAGTCAAAAAACAAAATTTAAAAGTTAAATTAAATAATCCGCAAACGACTTTTTATATTCGAATTCATCACCAATTTATCCTTTTTTTTATTGAAAAAATAAAAGGGCTTGAAGGCTTGCCGGTCGGCAGTTCCGGAAAAATTCTATTACTTTTAAGTGGAGGGATAGATTCTCCAGTAGCCGCTTACCAATTAATGAAAAGAGGTTTAGAAGTGGTTTACTTGCACTTTTACCATGAAAAAAAGGGGCAAGAAAAAATATTTGCGCTGAGCGAAAAATTAAGTCCATATAACAACTTTTCTAGGCAAGTTTATTTAGTTGATGCCCAACCTCTTTTTACTGAAATTAGTCATATTAGTCAAGCCAAATATCGCCTAATTATTTTGAAAAGAATGTTTATTCGTTGTGCTGGTCTATTAGCCAGAAAATTAGCCATCACTGCTCTTGCCACTGGTGATTCCTTAGCACAAGTAGCTTCCCAAACTCTCGAAAGTTTGGGAGTTATTCAACAGGCTTCTATAACTGTTTTTGAACCAGTAAAAGCCTTAACTCAAAAAGCAATTGAATTACATCATGATTTAGAAAGGGATGAAAAAGGAATAATTAATAAAATTCTTTGCTGATTTGGTAGTTATATTGCTCTAACCGCGATTGGAATAGTCTGATTTATATTAGTGCATAATTCTCATCAGTGATCAAGTTTTTATATGGTGGTGGCTTATCCGATCATTTGATTGATTGCTACCTTCGCCACTGTTTTTTATATTGGTCTAAGATTCCAAAAATGTTTTAAAATAAAAGGAAAAATAAAAAACAGGGGGCGGGAACTAGAAAGAATAATTAAAAAACTAAGAAAAGAGAAAAACAAACAAGTTTGTTTGCTAACTCCATTAATTAGTTGAGATAAAAAAGAAATAATTGAAGAAGCTCGAAGAATAGGCACTTATGAACTTTCTTTAAAAAAGTATGAGGATTGTTGTTCTTTATTTGAACCTAAACATCCCATAACTAAGCCAAGAAAAGAAGTGGTAGAAAAATTAGAAGAGGAGATTTTATGACTAGAAGTGCTAGCCATTATTGATAAAAAAATCAGTGAATCATTAGAGAAAAAATTATAAAATTATAAAATATATTAAAAATGCTCAAAATTCGTTTAAGTCAAATTGGAAAATCAGGACAGCGCTCTTACCGCATTAGAGTAATGGATAGTCACCTAAAAAGAGATAGCGGTAAATATTTAGATGATTTAGGTTATTGAAATAAAACCAAAAAAGAACTTAAATTAGATCGAGAAAAATATGAAAAATGATTAAGCAAGGGGGCTCAACCAACTGATATTCTCAATCAAATTTATAAAGATAGTGCAAAATTATCTAATAAAGAGAAAGAGAATTAATAAACCTAAGGAAAAAATTAGTTAAAGATTCTTTTGAGTGGTTTAGCCTTAGATAGTTCATTTGTAAATGTTTATTGTATATTTATTTTAACTAATTGGATAACAATTTCTCACTCATAATCAATCTGAACTATTATCCTCAAATCAAAAAGTTAAATGATAAAACCTATCTGGGTAAGGAACATATTCGCGAACAAAGACTTCCCGATTGCCATGTTTTTTATGAAACCTCATTCTTTTTCTTCCGTTGAGTTCTTTGGCTAAGATATTTAGAACTAATTCCTTAGTCATTCATTCTCGACCCTTTTTTCTTCAAGGGTGGTCAGTAATGGTAATTCGTCTAATAACTCTTTTTTTAAAAGTAAACTCAAATAAGCAGAGATAAGTTCATTGTTGCTCTTGGTGAACCTCACTAAATTTATCCTTTTCTAACCTAAACAGTTCGGGCATGTAAATTATCTTTTTTAGGTTCTACAATTAACTTTATTTCATCTGGCAAAAATAATTTGCTGGCCACATTCATTAAGTAGTCCAAAGTAAACTTACTTATTCGGCAAAATAAAATATCTTCTAACTCGGTTTGAGTTAAATGGAGTTTTCTAGTCATTACCTCGTCTGATAAATTGTTGTCTTCTTGACATCCTAATATCTTTTCACAGAGTTCATATTTAGCCTTTTCCGAAGGAGTAGGATTTTCCGGACAAGCTCAAGAACCTTGACCGATATTTTTAGGGTCTTCGGCTTCTTGTAATATTTTCTCAAATTCTTTATCTCTTGACATAATATGATAAATTTTATAAAAATATAATTAGAGGTTAATTACTAGCAATTGGTTAATCCATACGGATTTCATGACTTTTAAAGTTTATCCCCATCAAGTTTTTTGTTTTAAGCAATAATACCCTTTTCCCTAATCACATATAAGAAAAATTAAAAACCTCTCCGCTTCCTTTTTCTTCGAATAATTAGAACTAGTGAAGTTAGAGCCAGGAAGGAAAGGATCAATATGACAGTTGGCAATAATCATTTATTTGAACCTTTATCGTTGGTTAAATTGCCTTGCTTAGATAATTTTAATTTCAAAACCGCTTGTTTTATTTTATTAATAAATTGCTCAATGTGGATAGGAGAATCTAACTTTTTAAGATAATTCGTTAATTTTTCACCTGAGCAAAATTTCTTTTCTAATTCCTCTTTTTCTTGCTTAGAGATAGAATTAACTTTCATTATCTTTTCTATTTCTTGTTCGGCTTGGGCTCGCTTCTGGATTAAAGCAAGATTGGGAATTTCTGGAAGGTTTGGTGAGTTATCGCCTTTTTCTGGTTTTTCTTGGTCTCCATTTTGGTTGGAATTATTATGAGAGTCGTGGTTACCATGGTTAGCACTATCACCTAAACCCCCCATGTCATTTTCATTTTCTCCTCTTCCGTTTCCGTTGAGTGGGGGATTTACCACTGGCGACTCAAAACCTTCTTCCTCACCTTCCCCCTCTGATTGACCCTCACTATCTCTTTTTCAATTTCTGTAATGTTCTTGACAACAAAACCAACCAACTTCATAACTTATCCAACTGCTTCTTTGCAAGGGTACCCCCTTTTTGCCACATTGCTTACATTTCACAGCAACACAATCGGCACAAATAGAACCCCCCCCTTCCAGAGTATATTCTCCTGGTTTACCACATTTATAACAATTGCCTAAATTTGAATCAGGAGGTTCATAATTTCCATAGTCATCTCTCCTTTTTCGAAAATCTTTAAGACAGGCTCGCGAACAAAATTTACCTTTCTCACTTCGCGAAGTAATTAAAAATTTGTAACATTTTCCTCCGCTGATACAAAGCGGATTAGTGCAGTCGAACAGACAACCATAATCGCAGAAAATATATTTTTTGTTTCCCTCGGACATTTCGTGATAATGATAAGTAGATTGGTTATGACAACTAGCACATTCAAATTCAGGACCTTCTTTGCCATCTGAATAAGTCGGTTTGCTAGTATCATTATCATATGCTCACCTTTTGTTTGTGTCGGATAAAATCTCATAAGCCTCTCCGATCTCTTTAAACCTTTCCTCCGCTATTTTTATTTCTTTTGGACTTTTACCACCTCACTTGTCTGGATGCCATTTTTGGGATATTTTGTGATAGGCTTTTTTGATTTGAGGTTGAGAAGCATTTTTATTTATACCAAGTATGTTATAATAATCTTTTTTGCCTGCCATAAACTTTAAAATATTTAATTTAAACTCCTTTTACAACAATAAATATTAACAAAATTTAAAATGCCTCTCCACATTTGCTCTTTACTGTTTGTTTTTTTTTTTTTTTTTTTTTGTGATTTCTGCCATATGCTTATCTTACCTTAAATTATATAGAAATATTATCTTAACTATATAATGTATTTATTTTATACACACTTCATACAATCTTGGTGGATCTTGGAGGACTCGAACCTCCAACTACCCGGTTATGAGCCGGGGGCTCTAACCATTGA